AGAGGGTAAAGGAAGGGCATTGAGGCCACCCAATGCACAAGAACCAAGAGAAAGGTAACAAAAAGCCTTTGGGAAAGACTATAGACTAGCCACCCAGCTAATGGAGAGCTTTAAAGTCAAGATTAGAGGGTTGAAGGATAGCACAATTGGCAAAATATTTGCCACATAAGCACGAGAACCTGAGTTTGATTCTGAGAAGTCATGAAGAAAGACCAGGCCATCACGCATGGTGATACATACATATAATCCCAAGATCAGGGAGACAAAGGCAGTAGGTACCTGGGACTTGCTGGCCACCCATCCCAGTCTTACTCAGAGAACCCTAGGCCAGTAAGAGACCTCATCTGAAAAATCAAAGTGCGTGGTACCTGAGCTAGAACTCCTACATGTACACACACATGAGCACACATAAGCAAAAATGAAGACTAGAACTCCTACATGTACACACACACATATAAGCAAAAATGAAGACTGGAAAGAATTTGAGGGTCACACCAGGGAAAACTAAAGGAGAGAAAGGGACATGAGTTCCTTCCCAGAAAAAAATCCTGAAACATATGTAAAGCATGGAATCTGATTCCTGGGACCCACAGTCCAACAAAAGAGCCACCCGAGGAAGCACAACACCCATACCTCCCTCCTTCTGCACCCTTCTGACCACTGTGACTTTGTGACAGGATATACCAGGGAGTACTCATTTACACCACAGGTGCCTTCCACCTGAATAACTGACCACATAAGAACATTAAAGGGGTTAGTTACAAAGAATGTAGGAATATATTTAAAGGTGCTTAAATGTTCTTCAAGGTGAGTCTCATGGGGCTTTCTTCTCTTTCTCGTTCAGACTGTGTTTGCCCTTGGCCTAACCCTGCAGCTGCCTCCTCAACAACTCACTCTACCTCCCAGCTTTTCGTTCAAGTGAAGCTGGACTGGAACGGTGACCTCTACATCATTAGGCTAAGGCACTGTGACTACAGAGGCTAACTCGGTCTACTGTGTTGCTTCTTCTGTGTATAAGAGCTGTTTTTGAGAATGACTTCAAGGTAACAAAAAGCAATACTATTTTGTTAAATTCTATGCTTATCTTTAAAGTACATATCAAATCTTAAAAAAAATTCTAATCTATGCACACAGTTATCTCAAAGTGGGCAATGATGCTTAAGTGGCCAACTTGTCTCAAAGCAATGGTCTCTCCCAAAGTAGCCAGGGTTGCCCACTCTTTTGCAAGACTTGGTTCACAGAACCCAGTTCTTTGTATGGAATATATGGCAAGGCAGGATTTAAAACACACCACCCTCGTAGCCAACGTGGTGGTTAATGGAAACATGAATGTCCTAGAATACTCAGGGTGTCCTGTGAATCCATTGACCTGAAAAAGCCTCTTAGCCAAATTGCTTTTCCTAAACACCAAAATAACAAGAGTCATCCTAAGCACATCCCTGCTTGTTCTCATTCTCTCTGTTTTCCTGAGGTCTTTGCTATGGCAGGTCACCTTCTGGGTGACTCCAGGCCCACCTGCCACTCCTTTTCTATCCTGGGATGTTCCAAACAAAATCAGGAAGTCTTAGTCAAGAAGCAGATGGTAAGGGAGAAAAAGTCTGCAAAGGACATTTCCGTATTACATAATGCTGGCCATGAGACCTGCTAGCATCAGCCTTGGGGATAACTACTGACCTATCACTGCAGAATAAACCAGCACTCCAAATAGCCATAAAGAAAATTCTATATTTTTCTTTGATATTAGTACATAATTGTGTAAATAACATGTTGGAGAAGATCCATATTTTTAATGTGTGCGTGCATATGTGTGCATGGTGTGTGTGTGTGTGTGTGTGTGTGTATGTGATATGAATTCATTCCTGTGTTTGGATGTGTGCAAGTATGTGCATGTCACAAAACACATATGGAGGTCAGAGGGCCTGGTGTTGGTCATTGCCTTCTACCTTGTTTGAGAGACCTTGTTTGAGAGAGTGTGTCTTTGTCATTCTCTGCAACATATACCAGGCTAGTTGGTACATAAGCCTCCAGATACTCTCCTGTCTCTCCTTCCCATTGGTTGTTGGAACACTGGGATTACAGATGTGTTTTCCCACATTAAGTTTCCCAGGTCCTCATGCTTGCACAATAAGCACTTTACCCACCGAGCCATCTCCCCAGGCAATGGACCAGATTCCTTAAGATATTTTCCATTGATTTATGTGCTCAATAATTACTCATGGAATAGCAGATACTTTTCAAGCCTTGAGCCAGGCCCCATGGGACAAGAAATGTTTAAGTAACTAGTGTAGCTCTGAGCTTCCTAGTTCTTAAAACGTCCATGTAAGAAATACTGAATGGGTCATAGAGCTTGTTTGGGACCAGAACAATGTAACATGCTTTTGGGAGGCATTATGGGATTGATTGACACCCAAATCACTCCTTTCTTGAGTGCAGGGGTCCTATGGGATCAAGCTTGAGCAAGTGTCTATCAGTTCCGGGTCTGAATGACAACAATGAGTCTGGCCTTTCTGCTCAGCAAGCCCAGGAAAGAAACTGTTGGGTATGGATATGTGGAGTACTCCTTACTACGGCAAAATATGAAACACATGGCTGCTCAAAAAGGAGTGAGAAACACCCACAAAAGACTGCCTGTCCCACCTGTCTTCTAAATCAAGCAGCACAGAAATGTAGACTTCGGTTCAAAACAGAAATGTAGACTTCGGTTCAAACTTGGTGAACAGCACCTTGGGGAGAAGGCACAGGCAGGGTGGATAGTCAAGAAGAAATGAAAACAGAATGACCTCCCTCATTTGTCTGGCTTCAGCAGCTATGGAGAATCCAGCTGAAGAGTTCAAAGTCTATAAAGAAAAGGCTACCTCTGACCCAGCCCAGCCACTTAGGGAGCAGAGAGCACCCAAAAGAAAGAGACAATCAAGTAGAGGCTACATGAATGTCCTCAGAGGTGTTCCCTTATCTCAGCCACTTACAATTAGGCCGCCATTTCTTTGTCTCTCTAGAAGCTCCCTGAGGGTGATTCATGACTGTGTCTCTAGCCATCACTCATCCCTTGGCACTTCTCAGAGTCCTCTATCTATTAAGTGCCCAAGAACATCTGCTGAATGAGCAAACGAGAACAGAGAAAATCATTCGAACCAAAGGTCAGCTATGCCAACCTAGAACTAGACCCACCTCTATATATCCCCAGGGGAAAGAGACTCCTTGTGGAAAAAAAATCCAATGAAATGCAACATTTCATTATGAGTTATCACAGCACATGATTAAAATTCACAATAAAACCTAATGTTACACTGTGGCTATCTTTGTTCTTGGACGTGCAATTACATGTGCAGGCAACTGTTTTCTTATATGGAAAATTGTGAGTTTTTTTTCTATTAAAAAAAGCCACACCCTCAGTTCTATTGCATTATTACATTCTGTTATTCTGTCACGTGGTTTTTCTTCTTGCTGCAACCCAGGACACACCCTGAATTACTGCTGACAGAAAAATCACTTGTCAAAATACCTACATCCTAGCACCATTTTAGTAATCTTGTCTCTCCAAAGCCTTTGTTTCGGCAAGAACGACATGACTGTTCTACTCCTAATGATTTTCTAAGCTTTCCAAAGGATTAACATTGGTGTCACTCCTGGTTCTAAAGTCACCTTTCAAAGCAAAACTACTCTAGACCGGAATGTTCAAGTTTTCTTAACTTCCTATGAGGAACACATGGGTCCAGCACTGTATGGGATTCCTAGTCCTAGGAGAGCATGCCAGCCGGTAGGTGTGTGTCCTCTCCATCTGAAGGTTAGGCTTCCATGCACTCTGTCATTGTCTGATCTGCTTAGGCTGCTCACAACAGAACTAGCCTTGGAAAGACATGAACAGGTGCCGTGTCCACTGCGCAGCCTGTGTCCGAGAATGTGCGGAGAGTGTCGGGGATTAACAACATAGAGACTCGTTCAACGGTATAAAGAAAACTTTAAGCAGGCCCCAAAAAGGCTCAAAAAAACTTCCCAAGAAAGGCCTCCCTCCAGAAAAGCTTCTGCTTGCTCCTCTCCCCTGGCTGGTTCTGCTCTGACACCAAAAACTGATCTGGGTGTGTCAGAAGAGGCGGTTAGTCTTTGGACAAGGTCGAGGTCAGGGTGGTTCCCATGAGCAAGCCCTTTTCAGGAACTTATTGCCCTGGGCATTGTATTGTTTTTAGTAAACATTGTCTTACAGCTGCCTACTCCCAGGCTGATGGGGAAGTGGGTCTTTGAACCAGGTCTGGTGTCCCCACAAACAGGCCAGAGGCTTTTTATTTTTGTTGTTGTTGTTGTTTTTGTTTTTTGTTTAAGAACCAAAACCTAAAGATAAGATGCAGGAGAGTCTAATAATTCATGTCTATGTAGGTAGAAACTTAACTGAAGCTTTGCCTTCCCAGGCTCTTTCTGCCCCTTCCCAACAACCCTCTCCACCACCTCCCAGCAACTTAGTGTCAGCCCACCCTGCTCTTGCTATGACAAATACTATTACAATTAAAGGATAGGAGAGAAATAGTACTATCTTCTAAGACTATCGCTGTACTTGCCCAATGCCCTAACTGAGCACTGGTCAAATTTCTCATCAGATTCACAATTATCAGCCTTCCTACAATAGCATTAAATGGCATCCCTACTGGAGACAAAAGACTGCCTTGTATCCAAGCCTACATTCAGGTACAACTGTGTACAGGCAGCATCAAAATTCCCACCATCCAGTGGAACTAATACACTCCAATGTAAGCTGCCCCCAGTGACCTCTCCAAAAAGAAAGGATGAAGTCATACGCAATGTGTTGGTGGAACAAGAACATAGGGGACATTGAAATGAAGTCCCCTAAGGTAGGACAGATTTTGTTTGCTTGGTTGGGCATCCCCCACTCCTTCACCAATGTTCCGGAATGCTGTGGAAGCAGAAACCACCCAAGCAGCCCTGTGTCAGCACTGTGGGTCCAAATGACCCAGAGACACCCAGGCGGTTAACCAGATCATCGGGGTTACCTGAATCTGTCACGGGTCCCTTTCACCCCTTTCTGCGATGACATCAAGTGGAAACCATATGCATTTGGGAGGCAAGGGGCTGACGAGCAGGAAGCACGATTGGGACCCAGCTTTGTTCAGCCTGCAGTGAAATACATGCAGCAAGGGTTAGATGCACGCGGCACAGACAGAAATCCAGGCACCCTCCAAGGCCACTGGAGGAGGAGTGGGTGTCTGGGGAGGGTGAGACTGAGGGGTGAAATGCTGGCAGGGCAAGGATGGGGCATTGTGGCTCTCCCCAATAAATAACCACCTCCCAGCTCCTCTGCAGTCTTCCCCCGCCCCCAAGTTCTCCCGCGGTAAAGCGACTACCAGCAAGAGTAATCCCACAGAAACATAGGAGTCAGGATGGGGAATGCCATGGTCTTGGGGCAAAGATAAGCTAGCAAAACATACTAGTTAAACCCACACAGCTGGCGATGCTGGGCGCATAGTCACCAACCCAGACACACACACACACCAGGCTGCATCTGCAAGCATCTTTTCGTTGCCCTGGCCACCACCTCATCAAGCCACTGTCACTATCACTGTTTTGTCAATTATTCCAAATCTATGTGGCGCTCCCCCCACCACACCCCCACTGTAGGCGGGATTCCCAGAGCAACGCTGTCGGAGCAGCTCCCTACAAGTCCAGCTGGCTTTGTCCTGCGGTTGTCCTTCCAGGAGCAAGCGCCCCAGGCCCGTGGGTCCGCACAAAAGACCCCTGGTATCTGGCCCTCCACCGGCCCCATTTTTCCAAGAATGTTTCGGGGGCAACTTCTAGCTAGGTATCGGAGAGTGGAAAGGCAGGACAGGATTGGAGGGGATGACCCGGGCTTGGAAAGGCTAGGGGGCACAGCATGGACGCGCGCTCTCGGACTTCAAGGGCGCGCGCAGCGCATGCACAAGGCAAGCTCCCAGGACCAGAGCTTCAGGGGGCATCCCAGGACTCAGAGGAACCAGAGGCAGTTGCCACTGCCCCATTGAGCTCCCAACTCAAGTAATGCCTGGGAAAAACACAACTCCCGGGACGACCTCCCTGGGAGACTCCACTCCGGGTCCGCACTCTTTTATCCAAACAGCTCACCCCAATCACAGTCCAGGAGGTACCCCCAAATGTATCCCGGGCTACTGTTGCCCTTCCCCGCTTTCCCTAGGAGCAGGCATCCCCACGCGCCTTCTTTGCACCCGGGACCTGGGAGCATACAGAGCAGGAAAACAAACCGAAACTCACTGACCTCTCTCCGCCACTGACTCGGGCTCTGCTATGCTGCCTGTGGCCGCAGCAGCATGGGCAGCATCCCGGGGGTCCGCGCTGCCCGTCGCGCTCTGCCAGACACGCGCTGGGGGCCGGCTGTCGCCTGTTCCTCCCGCCGCGGGTTCCGGGCGGCGCGGGCAGAGTGGCGGCGGCTGCGCCTCCCGCAGCCCAGCTCCCGGCCCGTCCTCCCCTTTGCTTCAGGCGGCGCCTTCCACCTGCCCCGCCGCCGCCCTCAGAGTCCCGGATCGGACACCCTGCGCCAGGCGCTGGGCACCGAGCGGGAGCTTTTTGTGTCACCCACAAGACCCAAGCGCTGAAGGGGGCGGGAGGCTGAGCTCCGCTCTATGGCACCGCCCCTCCCCGGCGGCTCCACCCCCTCCCGCACCCCACCCATCAGCCTGGCCGGCACGTCCGTGTCTGTCTGTCTGTCTGTCTGTCCCCTGTCGCCAACCTCCTGGCTGTGGGGGTGGGGGTTGGGGGAAGCAGGGACGCGCCCTTGACCCACCGTAGACCAGCGAGCATCTGGACGTCTTGCTTTCCGGGCGCAGAAGCCGGACCTGAGCGGGATCAGGTGTGACTTGGAGCCAGCGCGCCCGCAGGCTAGAGCAGCTGGCCTGACCGAGGTGGTGACCCAGCTGAGGCTGGGATCTCTGTACCGCGGGGGAAGAGGGAGGAGTCTAGACTGTTGCCTTTCCCGCGGATTCTTTTTTGGCTTCCCCAAAAGTTCACTAGTCCAACCAGGGCAGGAACCTGTCGGCGTGGAAGGGGACATGCATCCGAGGAGACCCACAGGGACACCTCACACCTGGACCTTGATGGGAAAAAACCGCACAGAATAGGGAAACAGAAGCGGCAGGTGTTACGGGCGATAAAGAAGCCTAGAGGGGGCTACCAAGGTCACCCGATTGCCCACGTTACAGCCCAACTTCTGGCTCAGTGGTCAAGTGCTTGCCCAGTATGCATGAGGGCCCCCAAACAAAAATAAAGCCTAACTCCCACTTTGTGTGCATGTTCTTAATGTCATGTAACCCCAGAAAATCTGAAGTGCTCCTCCTGTTTCTTTGCTTAGCATACAGTGGGGAAATTGGGGAGGAAGGTGTCTGGGACACCACGCCTGAATTCTTGCACCTTTTTGGAATCCATTCCATCAAGAAAGGTCCTGTGTCGCCGGGCGGTGGTGGCGCACGCCTTTAATCCCAGCACTCGGGAGGCAGAGGCAGGCGGATCTCTGTGAGTTCAAGGCCAGCCTGGTCTACAAAGCGAGTTCCAGGAGAGCCTCCAAAACAATACAGAGAAACCCTGTCTCGAAACCCCCCCCCCCCAAAAAAAGAAAGGTCCTGTGTCTCCATCTCCACGGCTCAACTGAAGAACCCCTCTGTTAACACAGAGAACAGATGATCTTTCCTGGACTGCAGGTGCCGAGTGCCCACGCCTCTTCCTGGAGAGCAGTGGTTCCCAGCCTCCCTAATGCTGTGACCCTTTAGTACATTTCTTGTGGTGACCCCGAACCATACCATTATTTCCGTTGCTACTTCATAATTATTATTCGCTACTGTTATGAGTCGTAATGTAAACATCTCTGTTTTCCGATGGTTTCAGGCCACCCCTGTGAAAGGGTCGTTGGACCACCCCCCCCCCCCCCCCAGGGTTAGCGGCCCACAGGTTAAGAACCACTGCTGTACCGGAAGTCCTGAGAACCACGGTGGCTCTGTGTGACCTAATGAAACAATGTGGCAGCTGGTCATTCTTGCTTTGCCCCACACTTAAAACTTTGCGGATGGTGTTCCAAAAAGGCTATTAAGCACATCGGGAAAAACCAGCATCCAGGAGACTGGTAAAGCTTGTAGGGTATGTGCAGTCTCTCAGATCCCAGGAGGAGTACTGCTTCCTGGAGTCACCAGGCTGGCTTGCCTCGTTGTTCTGGTTATAACCTCCATAGCACCCCACAGAGGCGCCATGCTCATTCATGCCTTTGGAACCTAAGGTTTCATTGTATGAACATTTCCAACTTTTTTGGGGGGGTTTTTGGGGGGGGGGTTTGTTTTTGTTTTTGTTTTTGTTTTTTTGAGACAGGGTTTCTCTGTAGCTTTGGAGGCTGTCCTGGAACTCACTTTGTAGACCAAGCTGGCCTCGAACTCACAGAGATCCGTCTGCCTCTGCCTCTGCCTCCCGAGTGCTGGGATTAAAGGCGTGCGCCACCAACGCCCGGCACGAACATTTCCAACTTTAATACAGAAGAAAAAAAATCTATCCTGGTGGAAGTGGTGGTGCACACCTTTAATCCCAGCACTAGGGAGGCAAAGGCTGTCGGATCTCTGTGAGTTCAAGGCCAGCCTGGTCTACAGAGTGAGTTCCAGGACAATCAGAGCTACACAGAGGACCCTGTCTTGAAAAACCAAACTAAAAAAAAAAAGTAATAAGTCTTTTGGAGACAGGGTCTTACACATGTAGCCCCAGGCAAACCTGGAACCTACCAGGCAGCACAAACAAGACTTTTTGGCAAACCCTCCAGTCAAACCTTCCCAAGTGCTGGATTTACAGGCGTGAGTCACTATGACTTACTTGGAAAACTAATTTTAGTCATATTTTATTTACGGGGGTGCATGCCTGCCATAGCACAGGTGTGGAGAACAATTTGCACTTGCAGGAGTCAGTTCTCTCCTGCCCTGGGAGATTAAACTCAGGTCATTTCGCTAGGCCCAGGCATCTTTATTCACTGAACCATGTGGTGGGCTCTGGGAAAAAAAAATAATAATGAGACGCTAAGCAAGAGATTAACAACTCAGATGTTGGTCAGGGGCTTGGAGTAAAGGTGATTCATGATACCCCAACATTTTACTAGTAGAGCTCAGCCCAGAAATATTATTATGCATGAGTGCCTCTCAAGATTGCTTTTAAGAAAGTAATTTCAGGATTCAGTAATTATTCTGAAATGTTTCGACGTCCCCCCTCCAGTTGCTTTGTAGACAATTCTTTAGAGTGGGAAATGCAAGGATTCCGCACGGGAAGGTAAGAACACCTCCAACTTCACTCATTTCCACTGACCGGGAGTTTAATTCACAGAGCATCGTGGGTGTTCTGCCTTCTCTGTCCAGTCGTGTAATGCTGTCACACAGAGAAGGTTAATTAACTGGGGCAGCCTGCAATGGGACAGCTCCTAAGACACACTGGAGGCCAGAATCTGGACAGGTGGCTACGGTCTAAGTCAGGGGAAGAACAGGCAGAACATGTTCTAACAAATTCATCTGTGAAACAGCCAGGAGCAAGGCAGCTAAGACCAGTCCGAGCTTCGAGTTGCAAGCTGGCAACACCCTGCAGAGAAGCTGCTATCTCTCTCACAAGCCACTGCGCATGTGTGGGAGAGAGCAAGTGGGCACCCGAGGCCCGGGAGAGCCAGGGTTAGAGGCGCATGCGCAGACCTGGAGACAAGACAAAGACACTAACACGGGGGCCTAGGCAAGTTGGTTGGTAAAGTGCTCCCTGTGCAGACATAAGGATCTGTGCTCCCTCTCCCAAGTGCCACGTAAAAATCCGGGTGTCATGGTGGGCATGCCTCATCCTTTGTAATCCTAGCACTAGGGAGGTGGAGACAGGCAGATCCCCTGGGCTACCTGGGATGCCATGCTAGTTGAATCAGTGAGCTTGTCAGTCAGACAGCTAAGAGGCATTTTTAACAACCAAGGTGGATAGAATGACACTTGAGGTTAACCTCTGGCCTCTGTAGATATATATGCATTTGCACACACATGATTCAAATAATGATGAATATGACAGCTAATAGTCATAAAATATGGACTATGATCCAGGAGGGTTAGGATGAGGGTGCCTGCAGTCACAGAACTCACTTTCTAATAAAAGATCCACAATAAAGTGCAACGTCTGTGAGACAATGAAAGGGCTCGAGGGACAACAAAGTAGAAAGAGAGTCGACGACATCTGAATGCTGGGGGACATGCTAGACGGATGACAGGAAGCCCCACTCATGGTGCTTTGGACCTGAAATCTAAAGGCCATGGGGGAGCACACATTGTCAAGCAAATGAGAGCGTACCAGCAAGAGGAGAGGGAAGGTAGTTGTGTGGCCATGGTGGTTGAGGTTAAGGACCAGGCTTATGTTCTTATCTTTGCAGTGTGGAGTGGAGATCCTCAATAAATGTTTATTGAGCAGAGTTCTTAAATTCTGAGAAGCTAGGGTGGAGCTAAGATCAGTCTGATGCCCAGGCAGAGCCTCTGCCGGAACGACACTGGCATAAAAGAATGTGATGATCTTGTAGATAACTTTTGCGATCCTCTTCCTGGTCTTTGAGGGCAAGGATCATCTTTCAACTTGTACCATCAGCAAGTAACCCCACAAGGAAGGATAGCAGCAGGAGGGAGTCAATAAGGAAGAAAAAGGAACTAGGATGAGGAGATAGGTCAGCTCGGTTCCGCGCTCTCACTCCTGCGGGCCCAAATGAAGCCCAATTCTGAGGGTGAGCTTCTTGCCCAACACGTAGCTGGCCGATGCTTTGCAAGTTGCCCTTTGCAAAGTAAGGTCTTTCTCCCTCTGCCTGTGTCTGGTGTCCTAAATCCTAAAGAGAAGCCGCGTCTAAATGAGTAAGATGTCAACTGCCAAATCATCTTTCTTCAGATTTATAGAACCCAGAGCAACTGGTGACCTTTAGAAAACATCGGGGTGTGTAACATATCCCTCCTCATTCTTTATTTCTGTGCTGTAGCTAGCATGAAGCATGAACACTGCTCTGACGCTTTGTTTCTGTTGGGTTTTTGTTTTGTTTTGTTTTGGGTTTTTTGTTTTTTTTTGTTTGTTTGTTTGTTTGTTTTTTTGGTTTTCCGAGACAGGGTTTCTCTGTATTTCTTGGAAGCTGTCCTGGAACTCGCTTTGTAGACCAGGCTGGCCTCGAACTCACAGAGATCCACCCGTACAGAGATCCACCCGTCTCTGCCTCCCGAGTGCTGGGATTAAAGGCGTGCGCCACCAACGCCCGGCTGTTTCTGTTGGTTTTTGATCAGCATCAGGCATTCAACCCAGAGCTTCATGCATGCCATGCAAACAGTCTACCACTAAGCTACGCCCCACAGCTGCTCCACCCTTTAACATCAAGAGAAGTAAAATGCTTGTAATGGGCCCCAGGAGGTCAAGATTAATCATTAGAGAAAAGAAAAAAGGGGAGCCACAGGTCCCGGATGGCAGGGCCTCACCCTGTAGGACAAGATTGCTTAACATGCTGCACTCACGATTTCCATTCTATGTTCATGGTTCCTTCTATAAAAGCCCTGTGCACCACTGAGTGTTCAAGGAGAGACTGTGAGGCAGCATCGTCCC